ACTTACTAGCTATTTCCGCTAGATAAAAAAAAAACAAATATTTGTGCTAAAGTTTTTATTTTATGTTAATTGGAACATTACATATTAAACATGATATGAAAAATATGGTCAGGTAGACATCGCTCTACAGTACTGTAGACCCTGGAATCAACAGCCACGGGTAGTAATTTTATAATTAATGGCTGCCATTAAGTTTATAACATCAAGCCTAACATTTTTTATTAGGTACCTCAGTACCTATGTAGGCTTTAGACAACTTAAGCGTACAACTCATGTCTATTATCTAGTAGTCAGTGTAACCAACTGTTACACAATCATTACAAAATAAACATAGAAATCAAAATTTGAAAATTTCAAATAAAAATATTCAAGCTTACATCCCTATGCTTGAGTCTATTACTCAATTTTTGTATGGGGAACAGTAGGTACATTAATAATTATACACTTATAATTAGGTCTTAACTGTGAATAACAAGCCCCCCACTAATATTTTATTAATTTATAATATTAACAGTATGTATACATAATTAGCTTCAAATCTTTATAATATTTAAAATAATTGGTACCTATTCTAAAGATTGTAAATATAATAACCGGTGGACAAGTGTTAGTACCACTCTAAAAATATTATTTAAGTTATTTATTTATAACTTTATAAGATATTCAACTGCATTTGAAAATGACATTGTATGTACCTATATAATATAACAATATACTTTAATTTTCAATTACCCACGGGCCATGAATAATATTTTTAAATTTAAAAAAATAACTAAAAAACGTTATTCTTTAAATATCTAACTGTGTCAACATTCGAACTGACACTATAACCATAAACCCTGCAATAAAATTTCAAGCATTTTGAACTTACGAAAAAATCGGTGCATCCTAATTGCACGCTTAAAATGTGCACGTAGTGCATGATAATTATACTTGTGAGTGCTCGGTATAATATACCAAGTATGGACAGACCACTATAAAATGTGACATTGCAATTTGGACTTTTTTTTTCGTGCAATTAAGATACAGACAAAAAAAAATTATTGACATTAACTATAGTCAAATAGTTAATATTACTATACATAAATACGCAATAAGTACATTAAAGAAACAAAAAATACAAACATTTTATGTTCGCTAGATAAAAAAAAAAAATATGATAAAGTTTTTATATAAATAATATTTGATTTAATTTGTTACTAAATATAATATTAATAAAGTGGGGAAATGAACATCACTCTCCTAGTCTCCTATACAGTACTATACTATTTGTCTAGATGGGTCACAGTAACTAATGTGTTAAATTTTTTGTATATTTGATTCAATGATATAAAATCATTCTGAGCGAAGACGGGTTGTCATACTATAATAATTAATATTACTAAGTATATTTTATAATATAACTGTTATTCAACTATTTAATTATACTATTAGAGTCTAGAGATTAAAGTGAATTTTAAAATTGTATTTTGTGTAGTCAACGCCATAATAAACTTTAAAGTTTCAATTAAACACGAAGTTTTTCAATTACGACAAAATTACTAAAAACGTTCTTTGTTTAAATATCTAATTTTCACTAATTGAACTTAAAATATCTGTAAAAAAAAAAACTGCATTTATATATTTTTTAGATTTTTATATTACAATTAAAACTACTTATAAGAACTTTGTCGTACATTTAACTATTAAAATTGAGCATTTTATATATCTTTAACTACAAAATAACATTAAGAACAATAAATTAAGAAAATCTTTTGATCAGAATATGTTATAGATTAACGATAAATAAAGAACAGACAAATAACTAATGTTGAAAAAATGTCAATATCAAACAATCATAAAAAAACTAATTTGGCTATTCCTTTTTTATTGTTTAACAACTTTAACATAGCAAAACTTATGGAGAATCATTTATTCAATTTTAAAACCTTATATAATATATATTATAGAAAACAATTCTTACGAATTTTTACCTCATAATTATTATTTGCGTTTATATTTTTTTATATATTTTAATAAATTGAATGAATTATATCAAAAATCTAAATTCAGACGCCTTAAAAAAGTACTGTGGATTGACATAATTTTTATAATTTCATATTAAACCACTACCTATGAGGAAACTTGTATTACATTTTCAACATTTTCAACATAGTTAAAAAATGTTAATCAACATTTATTTTAAAATAAAAACTGATAAAACTCGTAATTCTCTTATGTATTTAATTAGCTTTTAAAGAATGAAAACATTTTGAAAAATTGTATGATGGACACAAATTCTTTTATACAAATTTGGTAAAAGTTGTATGTACATATCTACCTATGTATAGGTATTTTCAAATTACCCCCAAAACCAAAAATATTTTGGCAAAAACTAGTTTTGAGTAAAAATGCACCTTTTTCTTTAATATTTTTAATTAATTGATTAAATAAATGATTTTACATCATTGAACTTAACACGTCCATTTCAGTGACTTCTCTAGACACTTTTTAGTATTTACAACCAATAAATAAATCCATTTTTCAAATAAGATCAGCCTAAATGCAGCTCATATAATAGAAGCATTTTTCCTGTTCTAAAACGAAAAATTAAAAAAAAACCCATTATTTTTACTGGTACTTCGTCACTCCTATCAGAATCTAAAAGCTTTGAAAGATACGCTCCACACAAAATAACTTTATAATATAGGTAGGTTTATATAAATTGTAAATAAATACCACGTACGATTTTGTGCTGTAAACGATAATGTTTAATCAATTTATAACTACCTATTTATCCATAATGTATTCCATAAGTAGATTAGGATTAATAGATAGATTCACAGAGATCACTAAATGGACAACACATAGGTATAATATCAATAATTTAGTTGTTAGAACCACAATTTAAGATTAAGTCTCGTGACTATTCCTATATTTGATCTTTATTAAAATTTTAACTTCAATCGTAATCTACCTTCTACAAGAAAGTGATAAGAATCTATGTCTGATTAATGAACGGTTCTTACATCTAAAATACTATAGCTCTTGAAGTTTACAAACGAATCCAGTTAAAAAAATGTATGCCAAGTCAGGGATCAGCATGTAAATATTCTTGATTTTTAATTTTTAGACATTTATTAACTGATATCACACCTAAGCGGTAGAACAATTTGAATTCAGAAAGATGTCGGTGTGAACAGCAACACAAATAATCATTTTCTTTTTAATTTAGTGAGATAGATCTCCGAAACCGGAAAACGGATCTCATTGTTTGGGGTCTTGTTTGATTCACATTGGTTAGGAGAAGTTCAATTAAGATTTTCAGAACTTTATATTTAATAGTTAAATCACTACAGAACATTAAAAAAAATTAAAACCAATTTTATTGGGCGTTTTTTTTATGTTTTTCAGCTTTACAGCTTTGTAGTGAATTAATGATTGGAGATAAAGTTCTGAAAATATTAAATACACTTCTCCTAGCTAATGCAATTCTAACAAATAACTCTTTTATTTATCTGTGAAAAATTTAATAATTTTGAAAAAAAAAATTATTCCACATTTAAAATCTACTTGATAATCCCTTTTTAATGAGTTATCAACCAACTTTCATAGTTTAGGAGAGAAGTTAAAAAATAGAAATTTTGTCAATGTTCACGCCAACATTTTCATGGAATTGTTACGTACCTACGTATATAGTTAATTAAGTAATAACGATGTACGACGTAGCGCACGTTTCTAATAGTACTCGACGATATAATTAATAAGGCAATTAGTATATTATAACACGCTAGGGCCTTTGTAAAAGTATCTCTCCAGGAAAGTCAACACTCATACGAATGATACGAGTCGACCAGCATTCCAAGTACGATACCCGGACGCAGTCTCATGACCGAATTTGGATACTGAAACAACCACCCACTCCAAAGGAATCGATCATATAAATAACAGCCCGGGACAAGAGCTCGGCAGACGGTTAGGGATACTCAAGACATTTGGAGGCAGGTCGTAAAACCACTCACGGTCTTAGTATCAGTTCAGAGTCAGGTCGTAACACCGCTCACTTCTCCACCTTAGCTTATATACATTGTAATTTTGTACTTAAATAAACACTCATCATAACCAAGTATATCAGTTATTTCATTCCTGCGTTGATGTATATATCGACCTCAGTTGGGACGTAATAGAATCAAGTGGTTATGCAGGTTGGGTGTGATATTAAACATCCCTAGTTCATATTTTATATTAAAGCTAGCTAAATTACCCATCTACTCATAACCATGTGACGAGACAACATTTATCTCATTAAATAATATAGAATTCATACTGTACACTCCATCTGGTGATCAACAGAACATTATCATTTCTCGTTAAAAATTCGCGTTGTTTCGGAATTTATGGGAGTAAGTACTATATTAAGACCTAGGTCCGTAAGACCAAGCTGGCACTCGCTAAAGTTTCAAGACCATACGCAGCTTCCTTTCACAAATTTTAAATCAAATCTGCATAGTTAATATTCTTAAACATCTCGATACACAAAACCTCATCAACATGTGTCATCCGAATGTGTCAATGGTGTAATCCACAATATGAATGTAGGCACAACCCCGAAAAGTAATTTAGCATTACTACGGTAATGAGCAAGGCCTTAAAGAGCATAAGTACTAGTTGATGAATGATGACTGTGAAGAAACGATTCTAGCCTCTGAGCCGAAGTAGTCGGGAACGAGCAGAACCAACAGTGTGGGATACGTATTTAGATTTACTATCTGCGGGAATACAGCAGTTCTATCAGTGGGTAAAAAAGGACAAATTAAATAGTTATGTCAGCAATATACTGGTTTTAAAACAAATGGGGCATCCTACCTCCATCCAGCTATGTATTGTGATGTAAGCATTTCTCATTGGTCCGCCTCCACCGAAGATTCCACCACGGCACCAATCAACTCGTTAAAGAAACGTTTAGGTCACTTTAGCATATGTTTGTATCATGAGTTGCTGACATACTTATTTAATTTGTCATGGTACGACGTATCTTACCCGCTGAAAGACCTGCTGTAGGTACTTCTGACCACCTTCGACTCTTACAGTACCCCAAATCGCTGTCCACATATCGCTGTTCATTGTCGTTCACCGACTTCAGTCTACCAGTTCAAGTCCGGTCATCATCCACTACAAGATACGCCAGTCCACCGTCGAACTACACAGCAGCCACGTTGTGATCGTCAATTCAACTACCACTCTGTACATTGGACTGCAGTGTAAGTGAACCGTGTGACTCCAAGATTGTAACTTTCAATCATTATGATTATGATCAATCAACATCATTGGCCAGTTCATAGAGTCATCAGCTACTAATAACTACTAAAATCATTTACGTGACGGGATTACCAGATACGTCGATCGGGTATTCACCATCTTCACAGTCCACCTCTACCGTACACTAATATACACATCTCACTAACTGTGAACACTCTAAAAACAGTACTTTCGGGACACAGATTCCTCTCTCTATATTGCCCTCGTGACTTTGTCCCATGGCCAGAAACAATAACTCTGTCACGAATTACAGTGTATTAGTTGGTGAAACCGTGAGTAAAGCCACCACTATTTAAATATCATTATTTCATTGTAAACCCCCAAATACATAATTATTTTCGATGAACCCTCATTAAGAGAAAGCCAATCGAGTATAAAAAGAAAATATTCTATATTAAACAAATATTGTAAAAATAATAATTTAACTAATAAAGCTAACGTTTATTAACAAAAAAACCCAACAGTACGTGTTCAACCGTCGAACGTCTAACACGTGTGTATAGCGAGTGCGTCTCTATCAAGCTTACGTAACATATCCACGTTGCCTAAATTCTACAGGTAACATGAACAATATTTGACCAATAAACTCCAGTATGTCAGTCAATGCCCCCAAAGGCACTCATCTAGGTTAAAACCCACAAACGTAGGTGTAACTGCTAAAAACTCTCAGAAAAATACAACAAACATACCTTTAAACAAGCTTAAAAAAAAAAATACATCACCAACTAAACTCAATAAGCTAAACACAAAATCACAATCCATCCCGATTACATCATTCGATAGGGAAAACGAGGTCGCTTATCACAGTACCGCCACCCTCCTATCTACATCGCATAATACCTCTTCTGTTAATGAACCCATTAGCAATGTCGATAACAACCACACCATATTCAATTATCCACTGGTTCCCACTGCATCAAATAGTCCATTCAATCTTAATAATTCACAACACAATAAAAGAGACACCACATTTGCATCACCACAAATGATAAAACACCGTCGAGAGACCAGGCAATAGTCTTCAAATCCATTGACGGTATCCTACAAAAAAAATATGTATTAGCAATTGGGAAAATAGTCTCCCACAGAAACATCACATTCGTATATAGAATTTCTAACAATAGGTTCTGCATATTTCTGCCAAGTAAATAAATTTTATACAACTTAATAGAAACACACACCTAAATAACTATAAACAACCAGGAGCTTCAAATTCTCAGACTCAACAACCCAGAAAAAAGGATAGTAATATCTAATGTCTGCCCTTCTATCAACAACCAAAGCATCCTTAAACAACTTAAAATGCTGAACATAACCCCTTTATCTCAAATAAGCCACCTCAAATCTGGAATATTTGCATAAGGATATGACCACATTCTCAGTTTTCACCGACAGATTTACATATAATACGATGAAATGCCAAAAATCCCATACTCACTATTAATCAATGCGAACGATTCACAATTTTGTATTTTTTCACTTACGACAAAATAACATGTTTTGTCTGCAAATCTACAGGACGCACTTCCTTGAAGTACAACAAACAATTTTAAACAGCATCGAAACCTCTTCCACACCACACCATAAAAGACAAATGTAACCGAGATTATTTCTAAGCCAGAACACCAAAAATTCGACCAAATACAAAACTCAAAATCTCCTAACCAGTCTTCGGATTAGATAAGTATTTTTTTTTATATAGATAAAGATAAAGATAATGAAACTAAAATGTATCTAGATAGCTAAAAAAGATAACTTAGTTAATATTTTTCTAGATGAAAATAAAGATAAATACTTTTTTATCTAGATAAAAAAAAGATACAGTTATTTTTTAAATGGTTTTAAATTTAGGTATTTATTTATATATATTATTTATATAGATTTTTATCAATAAAAAATGAAGTTTATTAAATTTATAAATATAAATATATATTTATATATTTATATGTAGTTAAATTTATCTAGATAATTCTCTTATTCTCATTATTACAGACGAAACTCCTCCAAGTTGGAACAATTTCCACCAAATCATCAGCTTACAAACGATAGGCCCCACCAACAACAACCTCCTCAGCTCCCAAAAGCCCAATATACACAACTTCCCAAGAGCCACTCCCTAGAGTCAAAAAATCAACACAAATTATAACAACTGATCAAACCATTACATCTGAATACACACCAACCAATCAAAAATCACTTTTACTCAACCACAGTCAATAAATAAGGCAAAAAATCGTTCAAGCTCAAATTCACGCAAACGTTTTTCAGAGGACTTGGATACTCACCTCGACCGCATCGGCCACATTTTTGAGGAGCATACTCAAACTAGTTAACTTTACACAATTTATAAGTATAAATAAAGTAGATAAGGTATATAGATGTAGGTAAGTATATAAGGTCTATAAAGTTATAGATAAGTATTAATAAAAATAATTGCTACACTTGAACGCCCCCTAGACACAATTCACGAATACGAAACAACAGGAAACAATATAATTAAGTTACTCGAAAAAATCAGACCCTCCCTTCTAACTAGTAAAGCATTAAAATATGAAGCTTTCTTGGAAGCCTCAGCAACTGATTCAGATACTTACTGATACTCACTCATGCAAACAACACACAATAAACGAAAAAAGTCAGAACAATACAATCAAACAACATCCAATATCACATAACAAAAATGGTTAGTATTATTCAATGGATTCTAAATGGATTCTTAAAAAAACAGGAAGAGCTAAAACTCATCGTCCAAAATCACGATCCCCAAATTATATGCCTAAAAGAAACAAACTTCAATGACAACTTCGCTACTCACCTCAAAAACTACGAAGGATTCAGTAAAAATAGAAGAGCATCAAAAAGAGCCAGCAATATACGTAAAATCGAACATCCTAACCAAAGAGATAAAAAATAAACAGTAATCTAGAAACAAAAGCTGTATCCATTGAACACAGTGAAACATTTACACTATGCAACATTTACTTACCAAATCAAACTGATTTTTTTTTACCAGAATTGGAGAATATTTTAGTAGTAGGAGACGTTAACTCTCATAATATAATTTGGGTAACTCTAACAACAACAATCCTAGAGGAAAAACTATAGAAAAACTTATATTAAATGAAAACCTTGTACTTTTAAATGACACAACTCCCACACATATACACCTTGGGAATGGTAACTTATTTAGCATACACCTATCTTTAAGCTCACCATAAATCGTACAGATGCTCAAAGTTGAAGTACTATCAGAAATATATAGTATTGAACACATTCCAATCAAAATTAAAATATCATCAAGACAAATAAATAAATAAACAAAGATGGAATTTAAAAACCCAAATTGGAATCTATACACCTATCTACTAGCAGAAGAAACTAAAAAAATACTCCACCACAATATAATTGATATAAAATAAACTACCCAAACTTGCACATACCTCATAACGGACAATAGGCACAATAATCAAACAAAAAAACCCAGAGTACTCTGATGGAACAATAAAATAAAAAAAGCAATAACTTATAAAAACAAGGCACTAAAAAATAAAAAAAAAAATAATAAAACCCCCGAAAACTTTATTGAACTCGAAAGGCTCAGAGCGAATAGCAAGTACCTCATAAAAAATAGCAAAAATGAATCATGGAACATATTTACATCAACCATCAATTTTGAAAAACTAACCCTTCAGAAGTATGGAAAAAAAGAAAATCATTAAAAAGTTTACGCCGAAACAACGACATATTTATAAAAGCCAACTACAGCACCATAACCGACCAGATATATATATACAGATGTTGCAGATGCATTAGGAAACTTCTTATATGAAAACTTCAGGGACAAATTATACGAGGAAAAATGTATAAATGAAATAAAGATCCCCGATGAGTACACTCAAATAAAGTCATTCGTTGACCCCAACATCCAAGACCAGATTAATCTAAACCTACAAATCTCCATTAGTGAATTAGAACAAACACTGACAAAGTGCAATAGTAAAAGCCCAGCCCCCGACAAAATTCCCTATATCGTCTTACATAACTCAGGAACAGTAACGAAACAACATCCAATCAACATCTTCAAACACATATGGAAAAATGGACGGATCCTCATAGGATGAAAAACGGGCAACATAATACCTATTTTAAGACAAGGAAAATACGAACTCTAACTAGAAGGATACAGATCCATCACGCTCCTGAACACCATGGGAAAAATACTTGAAAAAAAAGTGAACACTTGTCTTATTTGGTTCCTGGAAAAAACAAAAATACTATCTGTTAAACAAAGTGACTTTCGCAAACTCAGATCCACAATCGATAACCTTAATATCATTAAATCAGAAATAACCAACGCATTCGATTCTAAACATTACCTCGGCTTGATAAGCATATACATCTCCAAAGCATATGACTCGGTAGGAGACATAGAGTTGTACAAATTCATTCAAAAATACTAACAGATGATAACATGCTCAACTATATCAAATGCTAAATCAACTCAATACAATTCCCAGTTACCCTCACAAATGAAAATTCAAAAAACTACACACAGCAAAATGGAATACCTCAAGGTTCGTCGCTATCGGTAACCCTGTTTCTTCTAGCAATTAATGACATAACCAACACCATACAATTTCCGGTCAAAACCAATCTTTTCGCTGACGACTTGAACTTTCGGTGTAAAAGCCCGAATATCAAAACGGTACAACACTTCCTTCAAGATACTATCAATAACATAGCAATATGGTCAACACAAACAGGTTTCAACATTTCCAGGCAAAAATCAAAATTTGCAATATGCACCAACAAGAAAAATCAAAACCATATTGACAATCAGATGAATGACACCTCCATCTCGAACAAAAACACAATTAAAATACTCGGAGTTCTTTTTGACAATCCAACGCCGCGGTCGCGGCGCAGAGCTAAGTAAAAAAAGAAAGAAACTAGCGCGCGACGACGGTGTATATTACACGAGAGAACCAACTTGTATTTAACCAATGTTATTTTACGAAAATCATGTCGACCACCCTGTAGCCTAAACTAATGAACCAATTGACTTGAAACTTTCACGAATAGCTCAGTTTGGTGTGTAGATGATTCTGTGAAAATTTAAAGTTTATCGGAGTATTACAGCCTTAGTTACATGCTAAAGTATTAACATAATAATTAAGCAAAACGCTATTTTTTTCATCAATTCCACAATGTATATGTTCCGCGGCGTTGGATGTTTGTGCTGGCCGCCCATTTTTCCCCTTCCACTCGTCGGTTGAAATCACTCGTTGCGTAATCCGTCGTCATGGCGCTGCGTTGAACTATCTGGCCGTCTGAATTTCCCTCTCCATGCAACGGGTTTACGTCTTTTGTGTATGAGTGTAAATGTGAAACGAAACATTTGATAACCGACAGTTGTACTGTACTGTACTGTTCCGTGCCCGTTGTACATTAATTCGCCCTGCGTAGTTGTGTACCTACTTGTGTTTGCTTTGACGTCTACCTCGTGTTGTGTGCCTTTCTAACCTATAATTACGGCGTTCGTTGAAATTATTGTTACAAAGCCACAAAGGCGTTTTGCGGTGAATAATTCGCAATTTTGTGCATTTTAAAGTGTGCAAAAGTTAATAGCATAACATGGTGTCCAATGCTTATAAAAAAAAAATTAAAAAACGTGAAATAGCGAGTAAATACAAAGACAGAAGAGTAGCTCTTCTTAAATGTCGCATTGTATCTACGGCAAATCGTAAATTAGAATGTAATTTGGTTGTAAATAAAGAGCATAATATTGAAAAAATAATACAGAATAAATTGTCTAAAAAACAATTGAGTTCTAAAAGAGCAAAATTAATTATTTCTAATGAATCGACAGATCAACATGTAAGAAAAAAAAAGCAGAGTAAATTGTCTAAAAAACAATTGAGTTCTAAAAGAGAAAAATTAATTATTTCTAATGAATCGACAGATCAATATTTTAAAAACAAATGTCGCATTCCATCTACGGCAAATCGTAAATTAGAGTGTAATTTGGTTGTAAATAAACAGCATAATATTGAAAAAATAATACAGAATAAATTGTCTAAAAAACAATTGAGGTCTAATAGCACAAAATTATTTCTGTTTAAAGGATCGACAGAAAAGTGGACTAACAAAGTTATGAGGTCTTTAAAATGTCCCCTTTATAAAGCGAGAACGATTGCAGAAAAATGTATGAAGTGGGCTTTGCTTTGCCGAAAAAGTAAAATTAAGTATTACAAAAAACACGTGAATTTATTAAGAAAAACTATTAAAAATAATATTAATCATTCGGTAGCTATACCCGATGATCACCATTTGAATTTTGAATTCCTGATTTCTATTCTAGGTAAATCACATCACTGCAAGCATTCTGAACAATACTTTTTAGATCCAATTTATAAAGTATTACCTAATCAATTTAAAATGAATTTACAAATAAACGAACTTGGTCAAATTATGAATTTGTTCCCTTCGATAAATGACGATGTAGGAGTTACGTGGAGCTGTAATAAAGATATATGTAATTTCGACTATTTTTATATAATTCCAAAACTGTTGAAAACATTTAAATTATTTCTAATTCTAAAATTACACGACTTTCCACAAAAAATTAAAAATATTGATTTGTGTAGCAGTGAGACTAAAAGTTCGATTAAACTGGGGCATCCGTTTGCATGTCATATAAATTTCAAATGTAGTTCAACATTATTATTCCTTAAAAGTTTAGGGTCCCATTTTCCAAGTCTAAGATCAATTGTTTTAATAATATACAAATTAAGGAAAACGCAAAGACAAATTGAAAAAATTGATAAAGCTATTTATACGTCAAACGTGACTGCTCTTAAAAACATCGAAGTAGAATTCTCTAAATCAGGGCAAAATTTTCATATGGGTGATATGACATATCTAAATGAAGATGCAATAATTGGAGGTCATCAATTGGCTTTTCAAAACTTTTATAAAAAAGCGCTTGATCTCCCAACTCTTGGCTGTATTTCTTGTCATAAATTGTGTTTCAAAAAAAACCTTATTGAATTAAAAAATATGAAAAGTCCTATTCTCCATGAAGACTGGAGTAATCTTATTGAATTTGTTCAAGAAAATAATTTACCTAACGAATTTGTGTGTAAAAATTGTCTGAAAATATTTAGATCTGCTAAAATGCCTGCCCAATGTATACTTAATGATTTGTTTTCGCCAACGACACCAGATGTAATATTCTCATTAAAAATCACTTTGAAAAAATACTGATTCAACGTGCTAAAATATTTCAGGTCGTTGTTAAAATGAATACGGTATCAGGTAGAAATCATTGTCAAAATAATATGATTCAAAAAGTTATAGGTAAAGCCTTTCATTTGCCTTTGCCATTAGAGGAAACATTGAAGAAATTACCTAGCCCTCAAAAACCTATAATAGATCATGAGCTATTTATACTTGTACGTAGCCTCCCAACTACTAAAAAAAAATATGGGAGAGTATAGTCAACGTTAATAAAATATACAATACCCTTATATGGTTTAAAACAAATAACCATCTTTATAAAGATATAGTGTTACCCAGTTTCGATACTATTCAAGATGAGATACATAATATGGAGGTGGAGTATTTAGAATGTGAAGGAAATGATTCCCATACGGAAGTCGAAAATGTGCCCCTAATTGAGAGTAGTAAAGATGATTATGTCTCAATAAACAAAGAACATGGTGCTATGTTAACCCAGAAGCAACAAGACGATAAATATTACGAACATTTTACAATTCACACATTAAACGAACCACGAAAAAATGTAAAAGCAACAGAGTTGTTCCAAATGTTAAAAGTTAACGAAAATCCAATTGATCAAAGAGACATAGAATTGGATTTAAAGTGTTTTCCTACATTATATCCATTTGGTAG